GTTTCTATTACGTCCTTTATCCCGACTTGTGACAACATGCGATGGCAAACTTTAAGTTGCATTCTCTTGGCAAGTGTTAAAGAAATATTTTTTCTAGTAGATACTACATTAGCTAATCTTTTAAACTCTTTATGCTTTGCTTCAAACCTGATCGACTGTACCAAACAAAGCGGCCCTATTTTCCTAATAATTCTAGGATAATGCAATAAAAAATGAAATTTAGGTTTTAAATTCTCTTTAAAAAGTTCGATATATAAGAAGTTATGTTCCTCGATAAGCGTTTGAAGCAAATCAATTTCACTATGTGTAATAGATGATGAAATCAAAATTTCGGTGATTTCCAATAATATTAAGTAATAGTTCCAAACTTTGTCTGCTTTAGGGATTAAATCGCCTATAATGAATCTAAAATTTAGCACCAAACACATCATTTCGGCTGATGAAAGCAATAAATGCCTGTTTCTTATATGCTCTATTTTTAAAATAGGGGGTCTGTTACGTTCTAAATCAGTGTACTTATAATATTTAATTCTTCCATTGAGAATGTCAACATTCAAAATTTTTTTTGCAATAAAGTAGTTAATAACGTTTGCCATAGCGTACCTGTGAACCCCTTCAGTTAAGTCATGCATTATATCACAAACAAGGTTTTTTAAAATGTGAAAATGCTGTAGATCGTGAAATATGCAATTTTCTTTTACACCAAAAGACAATTGTTCGACACATTGGTCATAATCATCTATCGTTCTAAGTAATTGATCATCTTCTCTAATTGCAGTTTGCATTTCCATTTTATGCATTTTGCAAAATCTACAATAGTAGTTTGATGAAAATGACTCTGATAGGCCATACAATGAATGTATACCTAGGTTATCGCCAGTAACTAAAATTAAAGAAAAATATACTTTTTCTTCTTTTCCATTAATAGTTATATCGATACCATAGTTTTCTAAAAAATTTAAACTTTGTATAAGGATACTAAAGGTTGCTTTGTTTCCAAAGCTACATCGGTCGTTTGCATGAAATAGCATAACTAAGAATATATTCTCAAGACGTGTAAGGTGTTCTGGAGGTAAACAAGGTACTGAAAAATATACCGCACCTTGTTTATATATGGTAGCATGGCTTCCCAATGGATTACTTGATTCAAACTCATCGAAATAAATTATTAATGGAAAAACATTTTTGTTTTTATTGTGATTTAAGTATTTTTGCCATAAGCTTCCTTGAATTACATTACACAGTGAACCATCTTTATTTGAAAGAAGTGTATCTCGATAATCATTCATAATATGATAAACTCCCGGAAGTTCAAGAAACAGTTTCAATGTACTTTCTACAGGTACAAAGTATCCAACATTTTTAATTAGGTCTAAAGATATTTTTTTGTCTTGTTTTTTCGGTGCAGTTCTTGTACCTATGACGAATTCCGTGGGATTAATAAAACATTTTGAGTTTGTAAAATACTTTTGTCTTTTATATTCCGTATTTAAGTTTTTGAACGGTTCTTCCAATACACTCAACATTTCTTTACAATTATCGCACTTTAAACTTGAACATGAGCAACAGTTTTTAATACTATTTATTGCGGATGAAACAAAGTCAGAAGTGAGAAGTATAATATCTTGTATTAGAGTCAAATTTAATTGAAGTTTACTATATAAAGATGAAACGAATTGGTCTATGTTTGATTGAAATAGTTTACAAAATTGTTCATTATGATCTCCTGATGAATTGTATGATGGTTCTCCAACATTTTCTAAGTTTGAAGTATTAACTGTATAAGGATCAGTAGCGTTTAGAGAATGTAACACATTTGTCGCAGTATTAGTTGCGGTATTAGGATTATTTTTCTGAACATGTTCTAAATTTAAATGCCTTTTAAACGCACCACGTGTGCTAAAAGTTCTATAGCAACAAGAAAAATTTACTATATTATGCTTATATGTTAGATGATTAATATAAATACTAGTATTGGAAAACGAGCAGTTACACTTTTGACATTTCATAATGACGCCAAAAACAGCAGGTCTTATAAATAGATAAACAATTATTTTGTCTTTTGTAACTGTATAAACTAATTAATGTCTTTTAATACCTCAATCAAGTCTAAGATATATGGAATCGTTTTATCTTGTGCAGTGTGCACCTCATACACACATTTCTGAATCAGTATCCATAGGTACTCAGATTGAGAGGGGTAACAGACATTCATAATATGAAAGATTTTAAAATTTAAATCTAATGCAGAAAGAACTGTATTGCACTTGTATCGTAGGGGAGAGGGGGGTGCATGTGGACAGCTTTTTTCAAAATTCAATATTTTTTTAATTTTCCATCAATTTTACATTTTCTTTACAGTAGTAACATCGGGCGGATATTGTGAAATGCATACTAAGTACATGAATGCTTAAAATATAAACAAAATGTGCATAATGCCTTTAAAGAAAAAAAAATGTGTTTGTCCACTTGTACCCCATTAGAGGGTGCATTTGGACAGTGGAAGGGGTCCATGTGGACACTTGTTACAAAATGAAAATCTAAGTAAGTTATGTCGAAATTTTCTGCAGAATATCTAAATTTAGAGTTAATTTACATTATACTTCGTGAGGTCTACACCGAATTTAAAGTAGTCAGAGGTTCTTGCTGTCCCTTTATGATTCACTGGCTTAGGTAACTTGAGCACAATATCGTCTCTTATAACAGTAGCTATGTCACTAATGACAGGAAAGTGAAAACTCCATCCAGGTAATTTGCGTCGTAGATATTTAACTTCACACTCCACACCACCTTCAAACAATTTTTGTACAAGGGCAACATAATATATAAAAGTCTTCTTTGTGGCAAATTTAACAAGCACAAAGTCATCCGTAGAAATCACATCGCTGTCCAAAATCGAATGTTCTTCCGCAAAATCGTTTCCGTCAAATCCCTCATCAGAAAAAGAGCCACCTTCTTCTGAAGAATCCTCTGCATCCATGTGCTCTTTATCTGGCGAACTTTCAAAAATAACCCGTTTCACATTTCGTTTCTTTTCCTTTGGAATTTGTCTTTCTTGTTCTTTGTTCTTAATAGCATCCATTTCTGGCGTACTTGTATATATACATGATTTGCCTGTCCTTCTTTGGACATTTCGTCTTGGCGCAGCTTTCGGGTATGGTCTGAGGACTTCAGGGGTCACAATTCCAGAGGGTCCTGGAGGTGTAGTATCACGTTCATCAAGAACAGATTTATTTTCTGGCCTAGTGGCATTTTGACCTGTAGTGCCTGTGTTGCTTAAATTACTATTTACAACTGAATCAGTTACTGGCCTATCAGAAACATATGAACTCTGAAAGTCTGCCTCGGTGAACACAAGTTCATTTAGTGGCCACAAACCAGTAGCTTCAAAAGCTTTTGTAATGTTCTTTGGGATGAAGCTTAGCAAGAATGGTTGCTTAGACAATTGTGGAATGTCATATATTGTAATTTGCTTCCCGGGATGTGTAGCCATGTGGTTATTGAAGGTGGATTTTAAAATTGCCTTAAAAGGCCCATAGACTCCAACATCTAGTGGTTGAAGCCTGTGGGAGCAATGCGGTGGGAACGCGGGACAACAATACCATTCTCTTTACAAAAACACAAAGCTGGCAGAGATATATGTGATTTGTGGTTATCGATGAGTAATAAAATGGGGTTTTCCTTCGACGGTGATAGATGGTGCACAATATGCTTCAGTACATTCATAAATAACTCTGCAGTCATCCAGCCGCTTTTATGAGCCAAACCAACAGCTCCAATAGGTCCGCCATTCACAAAGTGGTCTTTTGCATGGACCCTGGGAAATACATAAATTGGAGGTAGTGCATTTCCTGTTGCTGTTATAATTCCTACAAAGGTAACAAGCTGGCCACGTTCAGAAGATACTATCTGACCTACTTGTTTCTTGCCTTTCTCAGTGAGAACCTTTGGAGAGGGTAGGACAGTAGTTATGCCAGTTTCATCCAAATTTAGTATACGGTTTGGTTCAAATTTGAATTTTTCTAATACGCTCTTATAATTACAAAAAAATGCATTAACGTTTGCTGGATTGAAGGAAGTTGCACGAGCGAGGCTAGTGTTTTCAGGTTTTCTTAAAGAAATGTTTTTGTGTCTCTTTAAGAATGATTTCATCCAGTCAATCCCCGCCTGTTTTTCTACATTCCATTTATTGGGAAATTTTTTATTTAGTTTAAGGGCATACTCGTAAGCTAGTGTTCTTGTTTGACGCAAAGTCAAACCATAGTGAATTGATGAACTTTTAAGAAGATAACTATTCAACATATTTTCTTCTTCTGCTGAAAATACTTGATTGCTAGCATATTTTGACTTGCCTTGGTCTACAGTATCAGATTCTGCACCGGAATCTTCCGTTGTGTTCCGTTGCTTTTTGAAACGTTTGTGCAACATTGATTTCTTTAAGCCAAATTCCGATGCTGCTGTACGCAATGACATTCTGCCATTACTAATTTCTGTAAGGGCTCTTGCGACAATAGTTTCATCAATATCATCTCTCGATGTTTTGCGCTTATAAGTCCTTACCATACTGTAAAAAAGAAAATTTGTGGGTATTGAAACATAGACTTTAGGACACGGTGTGGAGTAAATGTGGACTGTGGGGTAGATGTGGACAGTCCACATCTACCCCGTATCTGCATGTCCACATGTGCCTCGGTTACAATTTGTAGATGAAAAATTGTTTTAAACACAAGGGTGATTTTCACAGGTAAAATATTGTGGTAGTAATAACCCCTAGTTAAGGTTTGTAAACATAAGTTATTAGCAGTATTATACATACTTACTTGATGATCACCGATTATATTCCTCTAATAAGTTTACTTTGTCACCATTCAAACGTGCTTTCAACCATAACACAAACACTATCAGCTGTTAAATGTTCAAACTTTATTCACAAATTAGGTATAATCAGAGACATCTATGAGAATTTTTTGAATTTATTCATGCCTTATAAAGCGCTGAATTCAAACTGTCCACATGCACCCCCTGTCCACATGTGCCCCCCTTTCCCCTATTTTATCAACTATTACGTACGTTGCTGTAACATTCTTTAAAGAAGGTCCTACTACCAAAATATATGGTTGGATAGTCTGTTTTAAATTGTACATACGATCTTGGTATGATTGAATGTGGTCTTCGATGTCACCAGGGCCCTTAAAGAAAAAAAAACAATAAAAATAGATATTTGCATTTAATTAATTAGAGGTGTGATTGATCTAAAGTGAATATATGCGTAATTGACTTTTCAACAGTTCAAATAGCAAAATGATTCATTCTTTGCATGCACCCCTAGAAAACGTAATTAAAGTCATATAATGTCATAGTATCAGCATTATTAGCAACGTAAGACAGTTTTTACTGGCGACTGGAGCCAGTACCTATTACAAATATTAAATATATTACATAGATATTACAAATGTTACTAACGACATGCTTTATGTTTTACAAAAAAAAATTATTAACGTAGGTACTTTCAGTTTAGCAGCAGAAAAAAAGGTAAAACCAATACTGTAAACTTTAAATTAACTAAACTTACTTTGACATGTTGAATTAAACTTTCAAGAACCTCCGCGGCGGAAAACTTCCAATCTTTTTTATTGGGCAACTTTGTTCTTCCTTTTGGTGGAATTAGATTAGGTAACATGTGCAAATGCAGAGCTACCTTTGTATCTATAAAAAATGAGATAATTACATAAAATAGTCGTGATATGATTAATTGATTACCTTCGTTACAATTCTCTTCTAAATTTAGTATCTCTAAATACTGTAAGCCTGATCTTTCTTTCATAGAACTTCCTCGTAAGAGAATCAGTTTTTCCATAAAAGGGAACCAACGAATGTGAATATTAACACCTTTAGTTGGAAACATCACATCAAAATCTATATCAATCTAAAATGAAAAATTTGATTAATTCCATATACTAAGATCCAGGTTTAGAAAAGGAATACCAACTGAGTTGAGCGAGAATCCTGCAGTATTGGCCAATCTTTAAAAAACTCAGAAGCTGTTTTACTGGTTGATTGCCTCCTCAATTCCATTGTACTTTTCCAGTTCGTAACTACTTCATCCCATGGTTCTTTGCGTGTTTGTAACCAAATTTTAACCTTTCTTAGTGATTCGTCTAATTTTAATGCCGTGGTCGTTTCCAAAGTTTTAGAACTGTTTGCATTGATTTGTCTGTTTAGCCTTAAAAGGTTACGAACTTTGTCGACAAGCTTTCCTTTAGCTACTATTGGTTTATTAGTAACCGAATGCTTTTTTGAAATAGCTGGAACGTAATACGTACCAGATAGTTCTTTAGGAAAGAGTGTTATAATTTTAGCTGTTAGAATGTTGTAGTCACTATGACATACTCTATTTTTTTGCGCAAAATGAAAAATTTTTTTGCATATGATATCAACTAATAAAGATCTTTTACTATTGTTAAGCATTTGGTTTTTTTCATAATATGCTATTATCGTAGATCCTAACGGAGTGCAATCTAGCAATGTTTTTAAGTCAAATTCTGGAAGTGTAGACTGTGTAGATGCTTGAAATCCCTCCGTAGTAATATCAGTATCTTCTACCGGAATTACCTCTATTATGCGCACATCAGAAGAAGTGGATGGAATAGAAGATGAAGTGGATGGAACTGAAGATTGAGGGTCATCAATTAAGGTGGTATCGCCATCGTCATTCGTGTTCTACAAATAATTGCAAATATGTATTGCATATTCGAATGATCCAGTAAAGAGTACAAGAGTAGGAGTATAACTTAAATCTGATATGCTTTTCCTTTCGATAAAATGAAAAGAACAAAATCTCACAGAACTTTTATCATGTCTTATAAAAAATTAATTGTGAACTGGTTAACCTTAATTTGTGTATAATATCTACTTGAAAACGGCAGTCTTATTGTCAATAACTAATCAACAAAATTATCTACTGAAAAACAAAGTTGAAATATGCAAAAATACTTTTAGTCAATATATATTTACCCAATCTAAAATCATTGTTGGGGTTACCGATGATACAGAGGATTCTGAACTCGATTGTGGTTGCTCCATAGACTTCAGAGCCCTGCAAAATCTGGACCTTAGTCCCACGTATGGTATCAACTCTTTTATTTCCTCTCGAGACAATTTTACTGCTGTGTCTAAATCCACACCGTGTTCTGAAACGTATTAAATTATACAAGCATTTTGAGACAAAGAATAGAAATTAAAGAAATTGACAACTTAAAATCGCAACAGCTGCAAGTCCTTTATTAAATGATAACTAATAATTAAGTGGGTATCGATTATTAATTCCACTGTCGACTATACCTATACGCCACTGATCCCAATTTAAAAATGCATGCACAATATCGGATATCCCATTATCAGCCGTTACGAAACTAAGCTGCCTTGCACATTTATAAAAATTACACTTCCTTATGTGGGTAACAATAAATATAAATCAACTCACTTTGTAGTAGTGGCGCCAAACCCTCCAAATCATTACATTGCAAAAATAGTTCCATTTTGCTTGCTGTCTGATGACTAATTCGACGTAAGCTGTAGCGTGGAAAAATGTAGGTATACAGCCAGTTATGTTACAAGATATTAAATTATATTAAAACGTAATTTCAATTACTATATAATTCACTTTGGATCAATACAAAATAATATTTAAACTTACTGTGCGTAGGTACTAGGTACCTCTGTATGGTGTTCAGCAGATTCCAACAGGTCAGTCGACGGATACGTATTTCGCAGGAATCGCACTTCGCAGGTCGCTGAATCACAATTGAAATTGAAAACTAAGTATAAAAATATTCGAAGGCACTAAAACACGATTATTATTATTTCATAATTGATAGCATTTTATTCATCTTACTTTAATAAAATTGTATAATGAAGAGCACAACAAACTGAACAAACTATATTGAACAATAGCTGTGCCGCGTGGTATATCTGATCACGTTCACATCGCTATAGACACTAAGAGCTGCATTTTTTAAAACAATCGCACTTCTGTTTCTGTAACATTAGAGCTTGTTGATTTAAGCTCCATTTGATCTGATCAAGAGAATAACGATGTTTGTCATACAGAAATAATTAGTTGTTCTGACAATATTTTTTTTTGTTGATTTAAACAAACGGTTTTGTTAAACCTACTCACTATTTAATTTGACTTAACATTCCGTTCTGTGAATTAGTTTAACAAAATATTTTGTTCATTAAACAAAATGCTCTTTTAAGTCTAACATTATGTTGTTTGATCGAAATAAAAAATACATTTAAATGAAGAATATTGTTTTTTAGCGGCAATAACTGATAATACTTATTTAAAGCGAATAACGTATTAGACTAACCAAATTTTTTTTGAAGCAATGAAAAAATGTTAACATAAAAATTTGATTACTTTTAACAAAATATTTTTTACCGCTGCTAAATAGGGATGCGAATACAAGACAGTGGATCGAATAAATAAATTTTGGGCGAGATAGTGGAAGAAACAGGAAGAGACTATTACTTGTGTATGTAATATGAAGGTCATATCACAAATGGAGGCAATCCACTGATTCAGATCAGGGCGAGTATTATGAAACAAGTGACGAAATTTCTAATGAACCTGCTGTAATTAAATTAAGTTAATGGAAAAGATGTGAGATGAAGTGCAGATGTTACTGGTACAATTTCAATATACACTTTTACAATAAACAAAATACTAATTCACAAACACGAGAAACATATAATAAAAATATTGGGCGTCGTTCAAGTTTGTTTTCTAAACCTCGCCGGAAGGATGTCCAGTATCACAGAAAAGTGTCAATTCGGAAAACGCTTAAGGAAATCGTACGAGCTTTGCGTCTAAGGGCCATCGCGTAAAAAGTTATTATCGACATGAAGCAGCGAAAAATAGCCATTTAACTAGAAAAATAATACGTTATAAAAAATTTGCGAGGAGCGGAAATTTTTAGGAAAAATTTTCATTTGAATAAAGCGGAAGCGAATGATACATTTCGTCGTTAGTTCCCGGGCCAAGCTCTGGCGCCGTTCCCACTCCACACAATAGATGCTACAACCCCAAAAATGCTTCCCAACTATCTAAATCCGACAGTAAAATAACAAATAGTTATAACCCTACAAAAAGTTTCTACAACTTTTTACTGACTGTTATCTCTGTGTAGCGGCACATCGTATGGAAAACGTTTCGACGCGCAAAACGAATTTAGAAATATTTACTAACGCTGATTTTGTATTAAGAACTGTAATTACTTTCCTTTAGCAAGTGAACGTGTTTTTATTTTATTTCTTTTTTTTCATTTATTATTTTGTTTTAGTAACAAACTTGGTCACTTGCAAGAGCTTACTAATCAGGTATGGTGACATTAAGTGTAGTAATTATGCAGATAGTAATTAGAATGTGTTTCTATCGTTAAATACGAGGGGAGGATCGTCCACTAAATTTGAGAACAATACAAAATGTAAACTTTTTATTGATAACATTTTCTCACACTTTGCAGCTATTTCTCAACATCGCATGGTGTCAAGTTTCTAATACCCTCCTTATAGAAAGCACCGTGGACCATCTTTCTACGTTGGTCTGCAGCGCGTTATCTGTTCCAAAATACTGGCCTACCACGTTCATTGAGCTACAGACCAGCGTGGAAAGATGGTTGAAAAGCACAACGGCTGTTTTCTATTGATGTATAAATTATTTTCTTGTTTTTATCTGTACGTTCGTTACTGAAACTACTTTTTAAAGGAGAGTTGCTTCAATTGCGTTAAGACACAACAACCTGAGTAAACGTGTAAGTAAGTGGAATATATGGCGAGAATACCTCAATTGTGGTAAGCAAACGTCTCCTGCTTTCAGGTTTAGATCTTTACGATTAAAACTCATCATACCCCTCGCCTTAGGTATTGAAGTAAGTTGCCAGAGAGCTACTATGCCAAAAAGCCTGACAGTGTTTAAGTATTCGAGGTACATTAATTCTGTCAGTGACCGTACGTGGCATATTTGCTGGACGCTCTTCGAATCAAACTAACTCAAACTTTTTTCTCAAATTCCGGGCGGGTCACCTATACTAAGTAACCTTGGAACGGAGCTTCCACGGCATGGTAATCCCCATGGTTTGACATGGTAAGGTGTCTCCTTTAAATAAAATAGACAAATGCGGCAGTCCGACTAAAGTGGTGCTAGGGCAGAAGGTGCCAATATACGTTACGTTACTAATCTCTGTCTACTTACATCCAATAAACCCGTTGCATTTCCTTTGGACTTTTCGAGAATGCTTTTACCTCACTGCTGTTAGGGTGAATTCCATGTTAATTGATTAAGTACCCAAGGTATGTTATTTCGTTAAATAAAAATAAACATATATCTGTTCTGAATAGGGTCTTTCGTAAAGTTTATAACATGTAATTAAACATCTCATATATAAAACTTTTTTTCTAATTGCAACATGTCAGGAAACAACATAAAGAGCCGAATGCACAAAAGTTAATCAAAGCTTAACGGCGCTGATAACTTATTTGTTTCGATTAAAAAATGACATTTGCTTTGATAATAATAATAATAATAATAAATGTGTGTAAATGATTGTAGGATACCAAGTTATTTAGATCAAGAAACTTCTTCAGTTGTAGGTTGATTGCTTTTTTAGAACCTTAGATAGCACTGGACGGAGATCTTTAAATTCCAATGGTTCCTTTATTTTAGCTAGTGGGATCACATGGGCAGTTTTCCAGCATTTTGGAAAAACTGAGTGTTGTATGTAAAAGTTTATGATATGAGTTAATGTTTGAGAGAGATAGGGCAGACATAAATTTATCATATAAGGGGTGATCCCGTCCGAACCAGCAGAGTTAGATTTAATACTTTTCAATAATTTTAGAACCTCTGACTCCTCAATCACTTGAAATACCAATTTATGTTTCGGCTGCCGGGTTTGATTGCACAACCGCATTACTTCGTCTTCTACCGGATTCGTGTTCGGAATAGATTCTAAAAAGTTGTTATTAATGCGATCTACATTACTTAAGTGGTCGGGGAGCTTTGAGGACTTTTTCTTATCGGCTTGTAAAACGTTATTTTTTAAGGATTTCCACAAGGCGGTAGTACATATTATTATGATTCGCTAGCTGTTGGAAATAGTTCCTTTTTTGTTTTCTACATGCCTGTATAACGTGATTTCTAAGGACATTGTATTGTTTATTCAGATCGGTTTTGTTATTTTTATAGAGTACGCTTTATCTCTCATCTGCATTATAAACTCCAAATTACCGTTTAACCACGACGCTGGTTGTTTACCTACTCGAGAAGTTCTTATAGGGTCATGTTTGTTAAATATTCTGGTGATGTTGTCATTAAAGAAGGACACTTTTACCTACTCGAGAAGTTCTTATAGGGTCATGTTTGTTAAATATTCTGGTGATGTTGTCATTAAAGAAGGACACTTTTGTATCTATGTCATGACAGTCATAGATATGAGCCCAAGCTGTAGATTGTAAATCAATTTTGAACTCGTTATAATCAAACTTCTTAAAGCATCTAGGTATGTTTTTATATGATGGTCGGAGTTTGGAGACGAGGGAAGTGTACATTTACAAAATATTTCATGATCAGAGAAGGTAGGAGCTGCAAATATTCCCGAGTCCGAAAGTTCAAATTTACCACTTGTGAAAATGAGGTCTATTATAGAATTACCTCGCGTGCCCTCCTTTATGTGCTGGACCAGTTCTAGGTTTTGACATAAGGTAAGATCTCTTGGGTAGCTCTATCTGTTTTTCCGTAATCTATATTAAAATCCCCAAGGGCTATTATTGATTCACAAGAATAGCTGAACCATGAATCCTGTAGTATGCTTAAAAAATGTTCATAATTGGTGCGTATGGGATTGTACAACGAGCCGATTGCAAGTGACTTACCTTTGTGTTCCATTAGTATCCAAATTTGTTCATTTGAATCATCGCTTTCTATGAATTTGAAACCTAATTCTTTTTTTACATTGTGGCGATCCATGGGTGGATCTGGAACAGTTGTTTTTTAGTTAACATGGTGATAATTTCAATATGTCATTTAATCAAATATAAAAATATTATTAGTGTTATTTAATTCTATTCTAAACGCTGAATAGTGACCACACTACATTGGTGAAGTACTGTGGCGATCCATGGGTGGATCTGGAACAGTTGTTTTTTAGTTTACATGGTGATAATTTGAATATGTCATTTAATCAAATATAAAAATATTATTAGTGTTATTTAATTCTATTCTAAACGCTGAATAGTGACCACACTACATTGGTGAAGTACTGTGGCGATCCATGGGTGGATCTGGAACAGTTGTTTTTTAGTTTACATGGTGATAATTTGAATATGTCATTTAATCAAATATAAAAATATTATTAGTGTTATTTAATTCTATTCTAAACGCTGAATAGTGACCACACTACAACATAAATAGCGACTCCCCCTCCTTGAATTATTTTACGATCCCTACGTACAACATTATAATTGAGAAGACTGATATGGTTGTTGTCAATGTGGAGTTTTAGCCAGGTTTCAGAAACGCATATTACGTCAGGATTATTCTGACTAGTAAACTCTTGTAGTTTGCAAATTTTAGTACTCAGTGAACGTATATTAATATGCACAAATAAAAGCTCTTGTTGTATAATAGCTGAAT